GAGAGGCCTAGTGCAGTGGTTCTCAAACTTTTTTTTTTGTGGGCCACTTGAAAATTGCTGAGGGTCTCGGCGGACCACTTAATAATCTTTGCAAATGTTGTTTGTACCGTTTGCTAACTACTGTAAAACAATCTGGATAAAAACGCTATATGTAAAAAAACTTAATAATTAACATTTTTTTGTTCTACAAATAAACCACACAACTCATATTTTAATATCAGTAGTCTTACCTTTCTAATGCGATGGAGGTGCTCTCTCTCCCCCACCGTGGCAGCCCCTGAACTGGGGCTGGGAAGGAGGAGGGGTCTCTCTCCCGCCACAGCAGCCAGAGCTGGGGAAAGTCGCCTCTTTCTCTGGCTGCTGCAGCTCTGCACATCCCAAATTCCTCCCACCCCCTCTTCTCACCCCACTGCCCCCTCCAACCTACCCTTTATTCCGCCCAAGGCCACCATCTCACCTTCTCCAGGGTACAGGCACCTTAATAGTGGAGCCACACTTGCACGGCTCCACTAATTAGGTGGGTGGCCCTTCATTCTCTTATGTGCAGTCGCCCAGGCGCGCACCTTAGAGGGAACTATCCGCAGACCACCTGAATGGAACTCGCGGACCACTAGTGGTCCAGGACCACACTTTGAGAACCTCTGGCCTAGTATATAAACTTCCGTTTTTTTATGAATATAAATTTTAATACTTTTTTATCTTAAGTGGGACTTATATTAACAAGATCTAAGGCAACTCTGTCTCCTCGCCTTGTTGCGGAGAGCAAATTATGTTACAAATCACATCCAGAATGTGTGGAGACTTTGAGGAATCTGGCACTTTCTGCTCCCTCCAATTCAGCTCAAAGGAGTGGGGGTTGACGCTGCATCCATGAAGTAATATCCCATTAATCCCATGCTTTTTATATTTTGGAAGTATATCTGGCTTGTGGTTTAGTGACCGATATGGTCAAAGAACCACTCTTAAAAGTGGCGGGTGGGAAGCTTTCCAAAGATCAAGGTTGCCCACCCTCGATCCAGATTGGACCACATTATTGGGGTACAAGACCTGTGTGTGACACTACACCCCATATTCTTCATAGAAATATTGTTATAATATGATTATAGCATAACTATGATATGTTTTGTTCAAGATAAGGCATGTGAGATATCATTGGAAAGGTTATGATTTGCTGAATATGATTATGCTATTTGTATGTATGTATCATTTTTGTATTTAAAATTAGGAATATTGACTATACATCTGTACTACAAAAGTGTTTGTACCTGGGGAATGCCCACCAGACAGACTGCAATCAGTCTGAACCATTACGGAGCACAATAGGTCTTTGAAGATGCTAATCTCCCACCTTCCTGCAAAGCTTTCCTGGGATGCTACGAACAACCTCTGACTCATGGCTGCTTTGACACTGCAGGATCATGTGATCAAGTTATCTGGTACTGGACTCCATGATAGAATACCAGTATTTTTCCACTCTGAGGGGAGAAACCACTCTGGAAAACACAGGATTCCTGCCATATGTAAAACCTACTTAAGGCAGGACAGTGACATAATCAGCGTTCGTTGTTCACTGAATCCCCGCCCAGGATGACTGCTGTGAACATCTAAGAAACAAAGTCAAAGTGGGGGAGAAGGACTTAGCCCAAGCTGGGAAGCTGCCTGGTCTGTGAAAGAAATAACTGGAGTTTTAAGCTACAAGCAAGAGCAGCTTGCCTTCAAGAACCTCTACAATCCGCCTAAAACAACATTTAGGGTGAGAAATTACAACTTGTAACCAGTTCCTTTAGTATTTTAAGCTTACATTGCATTTTTGTTTTATTTGCTGGGTAATTTGCTTTGATCTGTTTGCTATCCCTTATAATCACTTAAAAGCTATATTTTGTAGTTAATAAACTTGTTTTTGTTTTCTCTAAAACCAGTTTGTGGAATTCATAACTGTGTGTGTGGGGGGGGGGGGGGGGTGAAGAAGCTGTGCATATCTTCCTCCATCGAAGGAGGAGGCGAATTTCAATGAGCTTATGCTGCATAGTTCTCTGCTCAGCGCAAGACAATACAATTTTGGGATTACACTCCAGAGGAGGTGTTGTGCATTTGAGTGCTTGGCAATTCTCTAGCTGAAGCCTACCCCTGCAGTGCTGATTTCAGTGTCTGTGTCTTTCTGCAGCTGGGTGTGTCCCTACCTGTGTGTGCGCTGGAGGAGGCTTGAGGGCCTGGCTCAGCAAGATAGTGTAAGGGAGCCCAGGCTGGTGGAACAGGTGGGCTCAGTTGTACCCCAGTACATCAGGTGGCCACCCCGGGGGGGGGGTACCCGTCACACTGTGACTCCTTGATTTGCTCAGAAGATCTCTGGGGAATGCCATGGGGTGGAACAAGCTAGAATTGCAACCCTAAAGGTCAAAGAAAACACAGAAGCAGATGTGATCCTCTCAGGCCGCCATAACACTAAGGAAGGCCAGTGCCCCTGCTCTCCCTAGACTAAACTGAAGGGAAGGCCATCCCAGTTTTTGACCAGCTGAGTGTCAAAGGAAACCTGCCAACCAACGTGAGGTACTGACCAGAGACAACATCTATTGGTCACATGAATTGCAGTCTTGACTCTGATGCTCTGAAGACCAACACAAGGTAAAGAGTTAAGCCTTTTTCTTTTTAAGTAATTGTTATCTCTTTTTATACTGTTGATGTCCACTGTATTCTTGATTATTCTCTAAAACTTCTTAAGGTGTGAATGAGTGTACACATGTGTTTGGTAAGTAATAGTGTGTGCATATCCAAATTCAACGTGAGTCCTATCTCAAATAACTTTGTGAACTCTCTCTTCTAAAAGTGTGTCTATGCACAGAGCACTGCATGGATACAAAATTTGTATCCACATCCAATCCACGATCTGCAAAAATGGTCCGTATATGCGGATATCTGCGGATTTACATGGCTCTATCTATGCAAACCACTCTCTTCTAACAAAGGAAGTTAAGACTTGCTGTATCAAGGTGGATAAGGTAGGCAGGAGGAGAACCAAATGTATAATTCACTTAGTAAATGAAAATCTTGAAGGAGGAATCTTCAAAGGGCTGAGAAATAAACTATACTCCCATTCACATTCCAGGACTAGTATTTGAAAGAATTAATCATGTGTTGTGTTAACTTCATATGCTGAATCTTGACTGTGTTCATCCAATGATTGATCAATTGTTGATTCCTAATGGGACTTTTAAAAAATTCTTTGTAGACTGTTTAATTCTGACTCTTTATTGAAAATTGTGTAGCTTAATAAGTAAATGCAGAGAAGCTATGGTTAGCTTTCCTTAAAAGCATACAGAAAGTTCATTCCACAAGAAACTTATTGTATGATGTATTTTGAAAGTTCCAATAGCCAGTTTTCCATAAGACCTATCAGGTCTACTTAACAGTAAGTCCTGGTTTCTGCAGGTGATGGTGACAATGGAAATTGTGAACAAATTGTTATTCTTTATTATATTTTCCATGGCAGGCAGATTTTTGTCACATGTGGCATAGAAGTAAAAAAGGCTAAATTTTCTAACTGTAGCTTCTCATCATGTTCCAGCACATGCCCCGGCAATTTCTATCCCGTTACAAGGAGGTATTGTGAGTACTGGATTCTACATCATTCTGTTATACTCTCACTAATAACCTGATGGACATACACAGCAACTAAATAAGTATTTTCTCAAGTACAACAATGGGTTTTGCATCTTTGAAATGAAGATTACAGGGTTTTTTTAAAAACATATATTAGTGATTTTAACAAAAGCAAGTCAGTCATTGTCTACGTATGGGTTCATAGACTACAAACATGTCACAAAGAAACTTTCTATGTAGTAAAGGGCTGAGGAGGTGGTGTTTACAGTTAGATTAGGTTTTTTGTAGGATTTTGCGTGGAAATCTTACAAGGATTTTGTTGCTGAAATCTTATTAAACTTGCCCTTGGAAACTTTAGCTACCTTTAAACAAGAACTCAAAAATGGATTTAAACCAAAAATGGATTGAAAGCAAGAAGAGACTGAGCTGAAAATGACAATGATAGGATATAGGTTTTTGATTCTCAACCAACCTTTTTCCTCACAAAAACAAATTTGAGCATTGTCAGATTCATGGTTTTGGTTTTTGTCTGTCTTTAGGTGTAACCAAAAGAAAGTTAAGCAAAAATAATATACTACGAAAATTAATCTTGGGATCTGATGACAAAGCTTCATGTCAGTCTCATGAGTTTGCCAGATTAAGAGTTTACAAGAACTCCTCGATTAAATTTCTGCTTTGTATCACACAGTTGCTTACCTTTCAGATATATACATATGATTGACAGACATACACTTACTTTGGGGATAGCAAAAAGAGTTAAACATTAAGATACATAAGATATGTCACCATCCCAAATTCTCAATAGGAATTAAACAGAAACAAAATTTGGTGGTTTAGAGGCATTATTGATGTGTTTGTCAATGGTATAGTTTATGTTGCACTGAAATTTGCACTTAGAGTGAAATTAAATCCCTGTGTTGTGTGTGAAAAATGCACATCAGCATCAACAAGATTGAATTTTCCAGAAAGTAAGAAGTGAATCTGTTAATATAAATTCAACTATTTGCAAAAAAAACCTGCACAGGAATAAACAATCCCACCATGTGTATGGAAGAGTCTACAGCAGTGGGCTATTGCCAAATTTTATGCAATGTTATGGATTAAGTTATTTTAAAAGAACTAAAACATGAAGACCTACAAAAAAATCTACTTTGTATAACATAGCAGTTTCTGTTCCACCACATTAACTTACAACTGGGTAGCCAGATAATTAAAACTAACAGCATTTGTGGGTTCTTTTGAATATATAAAGGATCTTTATCAGCCCTATGGCTGAAGACAAAATAACTTCAGAAAATCTTAATAATAACAATGTACTCAAGAGACTCTACTTCCTACGTGAAGATAAAAGAGCTACTTTATTACCTGAAAGTATGAAGGATGGTTAATTCAACTGCTCATACCTTAGCAACAGCTGTTATCTGCTCCAGTGCCAATGCATGAAGATCTTGGTCTTTGCTTTCTACTAGCAGTTTCAGGGATGGCAGCAGGAGGGACTGGTTAAGCAGCAGCAAACATAATTCCTTTGTACACTGAAAACAAAAAGTAACCCCAGACTGTCAGAACTCAGGAGACACTTGGTAACATTATCCACACAAAATTTTATGAAAACCTTGTGTCAAATGCAAAATGTAAATCAAACTTTTAAAACAAATGAATTTCCCAGTGGAAATAAGCCTGTTTGGAAACTTGAAAGCACAAATTAAAAAAGGGTGTGGTATAGGGTTGTAAGTAGAATGTTTGCTATACGAGAAACAAGGCAAGCACTGAATACTTATTACAACCCACATAGAGTTTTACTGAAAGAAGAATGGAGCAATCACTGATTTCTGTGGGACTAATACTTTTGCTGTGGTCACTGAAACACTGCAAACTGTAAGACTTAAGGTAAGACATCTGTGACATTTCTTTAACACAGTTATATAGTCATAAAGGTGGAATAAAATAAAGAAGGAATATAACAGCGAGTCCAGCATCATAAAGCTGTCCCAAAAATCTTGTCAAATGACTTTTACAGAGCTCTGATGCAGTATACTAGTGTCTCCATTTTAACATGAGTTTCCATGTTTTATTATCCAGCATGAACTATTTGGCATTACAATTTTGATACAGTGTGTCCTCATACAAAGGCTGGCAACAGAAAGTGAAGCTTAAAAAAATAAAACACTGAGTAGGATTACTTCCAAACCCTTATTTAGGTCTACTGTGGTTAGTAACAAAGTGAACATTTATTAGTCTTTATCTTATACATGTAGAATTATTTTATTTCATCTACTATCGTGTATAAATGAAATACTGACCAATTTTAAAAAGGGATTACTTTACCTCAAAAATCAAATTATAACTTTCCCTTTATGAATAACAACCTAACTTGTCCAGAGTGACTAGGTTCAAAAAAATAGTTTACTCTGATTCCTCCCCACAAAACTTTGTTTCTAGTGAGACCAATGAGGGAAATCACACAACAACAGTACTCCATCTGGTCAGCCTGTGTATTATATAACATAGATATTATTACAATATCATTTTAGACATCCAAAGACAAGCTCTATGCTTCAGAAAAAACACTGAAAGACACTGCATCTGCCCCAAAGAGTTTACAATCTGAAAAGGGAACTCAAATGTTTAATTTTTACCACTTAAAGTCAAATTTGATTAATCTGGTGCCCACAGGTGATGCTAAATGTAGTCACACCCTTGGGGTAGTTATATCTCCTTTAACTTAAAAAAATGGAAAATGATAGATTGGTGTATTACATACATGAGATTGCTGTTACGGATTGAGATCTTAAAGTAGGGTATCTACTGACATCTTTTTTCACAACCAATTTATTTTCAGATAATGCTGCCACTCTTCAGTTACCCCCTCAACTGCATTTCCGACAGCAAAATATTAATTTAATTGTGATGCATACCTCAGAATGCAACATAATTACAAATTACATTGTGCTTGGGAACAGTTCATGGTAGTTACAAAAAAATCTTTCAAACTTCCATTGCTCAGAGCCAGTCTAAACGACACAGTAGTAAAAATGTCTTTGTCTTGTCTACACTAGCACATCACTAGCAAAGCTCCAATCAGGAAAGAGTTTACCCACAAAAACAGCACACACAGGACTGCTAGCAAAACATCTTCCAAATGCATTCACCAGTTGCCTGCATTGCAGTTCAGCAGACAAAAATTGAGAACCTGGTACACTTTGCTATCATCTAAACTTCTCCCTAGGATATCAAGTAACACATTTTTTTATTATTGCAGCTCAGCAGAGGTTGGTGAGCCTAAGGAGAAAACAAAAGGTTTGTAATACACTGAGGAGATTTTGTCTTTTGTTGCCAAAGAATAGGCAGAAGTGTGTCATAAGATTTTATAAAATTAAGCAACGGCTAAGTCTGCAGTTGACAGGCTTTGCTTTCATTGAGAACTAACATTACAGGAACAGGTGAAGAGCCTTATTGAAGACTATAAAGGGTGGGGCAAATTAAAAATATTACACCCATTAAGCCTTTGATATTTTGATTTTCGCCTTCATTTCTGCCAAACAGCAACATACTAAGGAGATTACAGAATGCAAACTTAGCAATTTATGATTCTACAAGTCCCTTTGTGTCTGAAAAGCACAATTTATCACCATGGATACATCTTTATGTTAGGAAAAATAAATTTTGAGAGTTGTAGGATGCACAACCTGAATGTAACAGCAAGTTTATAGTGCTGGTAACATTTTATATCTGAAAACCCATCAAAACCATAAGAGAAGAAGCAGTGCCATAGGGAACAACATATAACTATAAAAAAAGCTTTCAAAAGAATCCCCCCCCAAAATCACATTTTTGTACCTTAAGGTGGTGGGAGGAGAAAAGGAAAGGCAGAGGATTTAAGCACACTGCTAAACATAATTAGGTACAGTGAGCATTTCTAAAGCCAATGACTAGGAAAATGAAAAGGTGTTTTTAAAACACTGCTGAACTGCTGAATTACAATTTGCTTTCTCACTGAAGTGATTTAAAATATTACAGAAAAATGTAATTAGATTATGTGAATTTGCAAATGCAATTAATGTAGATCTTAACATTACTATTTTTGCAACAAATAAATTTCAGGTCAAACAGGTATTTTAGACCTTCTACAAAAATGTTTATCATCAACTTGCATCCTTTGCAAAATTTGACTAAGAACACCACATAGTGCTGATAAGAATTATATATAGGCCCCAATAACTCCTTATAGTTAGTCTTTAATGTAAAGCCATATTTAGTACCTTAATCATTTGGAGTATTAATATTGGTAAGTCAAATATACATATTAAACTAATTTTTAAAATGATACTATTTATGTATTTTAGACAGGAGTAATAATACACCCTTCTTAAAAATTAAGGTCCCAATTCAGCAAAGTACTAAAGCAAATGCTTAATGTTAAGACCATGTTTATATCCCAATGGGAATACTCAAATGCTTTAAGTTAAGTACGTGGTTCCGTGATTGGCTGAAGTGGGTTCTAAAGAAGTTTATGCTACATTAGATACAGCCATTCCATAACCTGGAACATTTTATGTTTAAAGACACATGTTTGAGTTTTTTTAAACATAATTCAAGAACATCCACACACATTTTATGATAATTTGTATAAGAAGATTGCTCTTGAACTACTGACCTTGCATTCTGAGGTTTAGCCCAGGGCAAACACTTATAGTTGAAAAACAAAAGGAAAACACAGACACAACCTTAGCTGGATTTCTGAATGTAATGCTAGTGCCATATTTGATTAAAAACTATAAATTGCCATTACTAGGCCTTCTAAATTTAGTATATGCTTCTGGCACTAGTTGTTGCCATCAGTGAAAGGCAGCACTTTTTTAAATCCACTTGGCCAATTTGATCAATGCTGTACTGTATATGCACTGGTGCAGAGGGAAGGGAAAATCACTTTGTAAATTTGGCTACTGTGATTTCACATAGAATTCTCACTCCCTGATCTTCTGCATTCAGCATGAGCCATGCAAGAAAGTCCACTAGCTCTTAAGATAGGGGTGGGCAAACCTTTTGGCCCGAGGGGCACATCTGGGTGGGGAAATTGCATGCAGGGCAATGAATGTAGGGCTGGGGCAGGGGGTTGGGGTGCGGGAGGGAGTGCGGGGTGTGGGAGGGGGTGCGGTGTGCAGGAAGGGGCTCATGAAAAGGGGTTGGGGCAGAGGAGGGGTGCAGAGTGCGGGAGGGGATGCAGGGCAGGGGATTGGGGTACAGGAGGTGTGCAGGATGTGGCAGGAGGTGTGCAGGGTATGGCCCCGCGCTGCTCCGGGAAGCGGCCGGCACCACGTCCCTGCGGCCCATGGTGGGGGAGCAGACAGCTCCAGGCGCAGTTCTCTTGAGCAGGTACTGTCTCCCACAGCTCCCATTGGCTGCGGTTCCCTGTTTCCAGCCAATGGGAGCTTCGGGGGAGGCAACCACAGGCAAGGGCAGCCCTCTGTCCCTCCTCCCCCAGGGGCCACAGGGACGTGGTGCCGTCCGCTTCCCGGAGCGGCAATCCCGCAGGCCGGATCCAAAGCCCTGAGGGGCCGAATCCGGCCCGTGGGCCATAGTTTGTCCATCCCTGTCTTAAGATCTTCACACCTGGAGGCATCAGACTCAGAAGTGTCCATCATAGAATCATAGGAGATTAGGGTTGGAAGAGACCTCAGGAGGTCATCTAGGCCAACCTCCTGCTCAAAGCAGGATGAACCCCAACTAAATCATCCCAGCCAAGGCTTTCTCAAGCCAGGTTTTAAAAACCTCTAAGGATGGAGATTCCACCAACTCCCTAGGTAACCCATTCCAATGCTTCACCACCCTCCTAGTGAAATAGTTTTTCGTAATATCCAACCTAGACCTCCCACACTGCAACTTGGGACCATTGTTCTGTCATTGGCCACCACTGAGAACAGCCTAGCTCCATCCTCTTTGGAACCCCACTTCAAGTAGTTGAAGGCTGCTATCAAATCTCCCCTCACTCTTCTCTTCTGCAGAAGGGTGTGTGGGGGGGGCCTTCAGAGGTCAGGGCAGAGGGCTTGGGGTGTGTGTACGTGCAGGGCAGAAGGCTGAGGGTGTGGGGGGGCTTCAGAGGTCAGGGGCAGAAGGCTGAGGGTGTGGGGGGCTTCAGAGGTCAGGGCAGAAGGCTGAGGGTGTGGGGGGCTTCAGAGGTCAGGGCAGAAGGCTGAGGGTGTGGGGGGCTTCAGAGGTCAGGGCAGAGG